CAACACCGAGGATGAAGACCTATCTATTTTGACGGGTGATGTGGTGCCCGACGGTCCTGATGATCCTGGGAGCAGCAAAGGACCTGCCACGCCCGCTGCAAATCAGTCGGGTGGTTCGTTCAAGTCCCCTAGCTCATCTTACTGTGCACGTGTTGCTTGTGGCAAGTTGTTGTACGCTGCATGTGGTGAGTCCATAGGCTATGCTTCCCAGCAGTGACAGCCACCACGGACCCCATGACGATCCTACCAGAGTTCTTGACTGTGCTTGGCCGGAAGCTGGACAGTGGAGACGGGGCTAAGGACTGCTGCTTGTGGCGAGTCGTATATAGTTGCTCTATGCTGTAGGTTATACGTACAGATTACTGCAGGACAGGCTGAACACTATCGGGACGGCGAAGGCGAAGTCGAATCTTGCTGGCATACACACTTCCTGCACTGTGACCCGTGCTACCAGAAACCCGTTGCTTGTTTCAAGTGCAAATAAGGGTTGCAACGACTGTGACGGAGTCCCTTGCCAAGCTCCAGGGTATCTACGATGATCTGGTGAAGCTCCAGTCCAACGCAGCCACATGCACTGATGCATGCGAGTCTGCAAGGTGCTTGTTTTATAGGTGGTTACATAAGATCTATTCTACCTAAACCCTAAACCCTAAACCCTGTATATAATATCCCAGTAACTTGGGCTAAGCCTGGCCTCGGACCCGAAGCTCTCGATCGCACATATAAATTTACTTTTACCCCGATATATAGACCCCAAGCCCTGATCATAAACCCTAGCTATACTCTCCAGACACATATGCATGAAGAACAAACGCCTAGGAAACTACACCTCTCTCATCCCATGAGCTCTACAAAAATCCTGGCTATGCCCCGAAGGCCCAAAGCCCGAGACGAGCGATATTATATATGGGGTTTAGGCTACGGGGTTTAGGGTTTAGGGTCCCTTAGGGTTTATGAGGGTTTCCAAACTTTACGCAGGCTGGCCGGTGAGATCAAGGCTAAGTTCGTACAGGCGACGAAGGAGGACCTGGCCCTGAACCACTACACGATCCGTGCACGGCAACTGGTCTACAATGTTTTTAATGTGAACTTTCCCGCTTCCTGTTCATATATATATATATGTCTTGCCGAGGAGTATCAAGGCTTCGCCTGCCGCGACGCCGAAAGCTGCTCCTAAGGGCACCCCCAAGTCAAAGGACAAGGCTAAGACGGCTAAGAAGAAACGAGCCTGCCCCACGGATGATGAAGCCCCGGCTCCTGCCAAGCGAATGCGAGGCAAAACGGCAGAGCCGAAGCTTAAGTGATCTTCGAGGATCGAGGATCGGTTTTGGAGTTCGAACATCGATCACTCGCAGCAACAAGGCTGCAAATCATATGGGGTTCCGAAACTCTGAACATAGCTGTCGAGGCTGTGCAGCGACCGGAAAATCTATGCTTTGTGCCTTATGCATGGTCCTTGTGGGGTCTATGCAGAGCATGTGCAGCCAAATTTCCCACGCAGGGGCTGATGCAGAGTGGGCTTATGGTGGCTGGCCTTAATTAGTACCCGCTGAACGTCATGCAGATTTCCCACTATATCGTTCTGGACTGCTAGCTAGAATAATTCCCCCCGCAGGCAGACCGGAAGCTCCTGATCCTGAATCATCGTCGGATGATGACCTGGTTGCCGAGCTGCTGGCAGGGATCGGTGCGGGTGTTGCTCGTCTGCTTTACTGTACGTTGTTGTGGCTTCTCCGATTCGATCATGATGCATCTTCCACACTTACAACCTAGGTTGATTCCTGTGCTCGAGTGAATCGGTTGGCACGAAAAGCTTCCAAGAAGCTAGCAAAGACAGGAGGCCTGGTGCTGGGCCAACGGGTTTCGTGTTCCAGCGCCGGAAATCCCAAAGCTCCCGTAAATCCGAAAAAGCAAGCCCAAGAGCCGTACTCATTCACTATATCTACATACGAATTAACCAACCAACCATCAGCCCACCAACCACCCAACCAACCATCAGCCCACCAACCACCCAACCCAACCCAACCCGACCCAACTCAACTCAACCCAGCCAACCAACCAACTAAGCAACAAGCTAACCTAGCCAGGTAATTAGCCAGCTAACTGGCCAAATGATTCTCTAAACTAAACTTTCTGACTAACTAATACAAATTTAACATGAACCCTAAACCTTTGCCCGCACATAGACGATGAACAATCAGGACAACAACATTTCCCAATGAAGCCTAGACCCTGCATATAACATACCCTAAACCCTAAACCCTAAACCCCTAAACCCTTAAACCCTAACCTTAAACCCATGCATATAAGGACGCGACCCACTGCTGAAAAAGTTGGCTGATTGCTCTCGCAGCAAGACCCAGAACGGCAACGCATGCCGTGGCCTCCACCGGCTGCTTGCTCGAGACGAGCGGCTCGCCTTGCCCGTGCAGTTATCCCAGGTCACTGTACCAATCCGTGCTGTTCGTAATCGAAAGGTAGAAGATGTACTATGGCCGGTATTACATTTATCTTCCTGGGCGAAGTACGAGCTTAGCAAGGGGGGCGAAATGCTCTTGTCCGGGTGCAACCTGGACCATGACTCCGACTGGAAACAGCATTTGAGGCAGTTCTGGTCACGATACCACGACATTGACCCAAGCCACGAGGTGTTCTCTGTTGAAGGGGATTCGGGAGTATACGTACCTTACTGCTTACACGGAGATGAAGGAAGAGGACGACAAAAACTTCCGCTACTCACGATCAGCTTTCAAGGTCTTCATAGTCACTATGGAAGCCACCGGCTGAACTCCTCAGGGATCCTTATTCATATTCAATTAAGCCCGTTGTTTCGTTTCGTAGTATTTATGAAACCTAAAGAGTTTCTGTTGGTCCATTATAAGGCACAGTTTCTGCAGCAGACTGCTGTTTACAGTCTTCCCGTCGCAATGCTATGCACCTCTTGATGCTAGCATCTTCAAACTGCTTGAAGAGTTGGCCGCCGATTGCAAGAAACTCTTTGATGAGGGTGTCGAGGCATGGGGTGAAAACCAACCTAGCTGTGATGCTTCATAGTAATCCATGCATTCGGCTCAGGTTGAGTACATGGGCAAAACGCACAAGGTTCACTTTGCCTACCTGGGAGGTAAGGGGGACTGGGTGTGGTTACGCAAAGCCTATGCCTTGTATCCCGGCTGGAGCTCGAAACGTGTGTGTCACCTATGCAACCAGCAGGACGCGACGCAATCATGTATATTTCGGGTTAGGGGCTTAGGGCTTAGGGTTTAGGGCTTAGGGGTTTTAGGGGTTTAGGGCTTAGGGGTTTAGGGGTTTAGGGTCTGGGGGTTAAGGTTTAGGTACTCTGATTAAATTTATCTGGATCGATAAGCATAGCCTCGATTTACCATGTCAGGATTGGTACGATGCATCAGAGACTTCCGCGATTCGAACCAGTTGGCACCCCGGGGTTCCTGTACCGGCCCCATGGACGGCAGGCATCTACAGTCCACTACGTTCAATTCCGGGTGCAAACAATGCTTGGAGAATCAGGATTGACCCAGCCCATACGTATGCTATTCAGGGCTTCGGGTCTACGCTGGCCACCAGTTCTTTAGTCCTGCTATGCCACATAGGGCTAGCACGTGGTCGGTCTCTGAATGCCAGACTACAGGACTTGTACATGACATTCAAAAGCTGGTGTTTGCAGAATCGAAAGCCTACAAGCTTGACCAGCCTGTCGATGAAGAAGCTGAAGATGCAATCGCCACCAGACCTCATTGTGTGTTGTTGTATACTTGAGCTAGCTTCTGGGACATCATCTTAAGACCCTAGGTATGTCGCAAAGACTAGCCTATCTAGATTTTGGATTATATAGTGCTGTCGAGGATAGCGACCTATCCTGCCGGTGTGGGCAAAGGATTTGACACGATCGTGCTGCTCATGTGGCTGGGTAGCTTCTTGCAAGAAATCGATGTTGAATCACTTGCTACTTAGCCGCATACATGGTTCAATTCCCTGTTCGTGAAGAAGGTATTGCAAACTCTTCTTCAGGTTGCTATGTACCGAGATGTGCTCCGGGTGCTTCAGTGGACCATACAGAGCACGAACCTCTTCTATGAAGGAATCCATCGGCACGGAGTGTGGATCGAACGAGCTTTCGCTGTCAAGTTCGTCGGCTACGGGTATAGCATGACAGCCTCCTAATTTGAATAGCAATTGCTTGTAACATTTGCAAGGTCGTATAAACCCGGCAAGCACCCTAGCTTATATAAGGTCTTCCTGTAATGAGCCAATCTTATCACAAGGAGGGGTACACAGCACTATCGACGATGTGCAGCAGAATGGGCTTCGCACTGTACCGTGTGAAGCCCAAGCTGCATATGCAGCTACACTTGCAGAAACACGGTCGCAGTATGCTTGTTCACGGCGAATGAATAATGCCATTAGTACTTTCACCCATTGCAAGGCGAGATATGGATCTTCAGCTTGACAACCCATCCGGCTTCGTTCTCAATCCTCTCTGTTGCTAGCCTGGCCTTCATTCAGCTAGACTTGTGTTGTCATTTGCAAGTATCTCTGATCTTTTATATCTAAGGTTACTGCTGCTTTACTGACGAGGACTATATTGGGAAATGTGCACGAATCAGCAGGCGACAGGCCACAATTTCCGTGGCATTTCGAACAATTCGTGCTTGCTTGGTTGTGTATCGCAACGTATGGGACCGGGAGCTTCGCCGCTGACAGAAAAGAAGCTGAGGTTGCGGCTCTCGTCCGCAGATCGAAGAGCTCGCCGGTATAGTCGAGGGTTGGAGAGGTACCCCGAATCCCTCCCTAACCCTCAGCCCGACACCCAAATAGATCCCGAAACAAACCTCTGTATGCCCATATATAGACCTCCGAACAAACCTATATGCCCTATATAAACCTCCGAATAGTACTCGGGAGTGCAGCTACCGGGCCCTTGTTTCGGAAATATTATGTTGTCAAACCTCACGCACAGAAATCCCGAAAACGCGCTTAAATCAAGATCTTGCAACACCACGCACAGAAATTCTAGGGTAGGGAAATTTCCATAGCAAAGGATCTTCTAGGAAGGTCTTTGGGCGCTCACGGGATCGAGAAACATAAATCAGGTTGTACGAGGTTTGCCTACTTGCGGATTGGGTTCCGGACCCTGCTCCAACCCTCTGCTCCTGCTTGCTCGGCTGGTACTTGAGGCCATCGGTGTGCAAGCTGATGAGAGGCACATACGCAGGCCGCGCGCCGGTTTGGTCAAAGACTTGCTCGGCGCCCAGGCGATGCTTCCACGAAATCCTGGGGTGTACAAGAGATACATAGAGATACCTTAAACTACAGTACCCTACAGTGACTACGGTGTTGCAGCTCCTTGAAACTGAAAATGCGTGTTCATATTCATATTCCAATGACACACAGCCGGTTTCCAGTGGGTTAGGGGAATATATAAAAAAAAGTCACGCCACTATTGTGCTTAGTTGCTTCACTCCTGTGCCCTATGCTAGCATGCAAGGACACAAAAAAAAGGAATGCGATTCGCAACGCATCCAGGAGTCGTTACCTTTCGTGATGCCATGAAGTCATGGAGCATAGACCAGTACAGTGGCAATTCGCTCCATGCATGGTAGAACTGCAGCAAGGCCATGTTCTGCCGGACTAGAAATGGCCTCGGTTAAAGGCTCCAGTTCTTGAGACCTAGCGGGAGAAGCACAGCTATTTCAGACCTTTTCAGAAAGCAAACCCCGGGGTGTAGGATTCACATGTGTGTTATGCGTGTTTAGACTTTGGACAATCGGGATTCAGGACTGTAGCGTGAGGCACGCCACATCCTGCCGAGAGACATGTCAGGAAGGACCTGGCCGGATCTGCAATGACCCAGGGCCCCTCATTTCGCTCTGTTTGACGGAATCCGGTAGGTTTCAGGGATTAAGGCTGTTAAAGGTGTGGCCCACATTGGGCTTACAAAACTACCGTAGAAACAGGCACTCGCAAACACTATCTACCATCCCTTTGCACAAGCAAAGATTACAAGGAGGCGCCCACCCTGTGGCAACCTTAACCTTGCAGTTTCCAATGGCAACGTCCATCGCAGCCCTTGAGCCACAGGGTCCGTCTGATCAGAAAACCCGACACCCCTGCCGCTGCAGGCTGAAGGTGTGACCCCATCACAAAAAGACACTGAAGCCCAACTATCCAGGCTGGAAAAGAAACGATTCGGGTGTAGCGTTTGGGGTTCACTCACTCTGGATGCAGGGTTTAGGTTGACTTACTGCCATATGCCCGAACAATTAGTAGTAATACCCCCTGTAGTCGAATAACCCCATATCCTTAATCACGATAGTATACTAAAACCCTATTTTTTTAAGAACTGGTACCCCTCTATTACCACCTAAGTTTCAGAAGCCTTCTGAAATCGTACCATGAAGCGCCAATTAAACTACAAAAAACCCATGTAACACCACCCAAAGCTTCAAAAAACCGCTGCCTGGAAGAGGGCCACGCAAGCCCAAAGCGGGGTGCAACCGGCCACCAGGTCCGCACCCTTCCAGTGCTCTTGCTCGATCCACCCAGCTACCTTGCAGGATTGCTGCTTGGGATTATATAGGGGCTTATAATAAGGTTGAAGACCCTGCATCTTCCATCTGTCGGAACCCGTGCGCCCAAAAAATCCATAAGGGTTGCTAGAAGGGTCACAGGGTTCGGGTATAATTTGGGCGGACGACAGTAGTCGCAATCAGCGTGCTTTCCTCGTCAATGAGTCTGCAGCCTTTGGCACGATTCTACAGACTTTGGGCCTTTTCCACGCCCGGCCTCTGCAAGTCCAGCCGCAATCCCGTGCTCCAAGAAGATGTGAGCATCATTTCCGTGCGTAGGGAGTTCCTCCTGAACGTCCAACTCCTGTGGTAGCATGGGCTTGAAATCGGCGGTAGGGTTATAGGCTGGTGGATTCACCTACATTATGCACTGTGCGGTCTGGATACTGGGACCAAGCGTGCACGGACAAGGGGCAGCTCCAACAACATCAAACGACGGTGGAAGGACTCGGTTCTTGTGTCCGCACGGAGCAGAGGCACTAACGTTTCTTACAGTTTGTTGTGAATACTGCAATAGACTAAGGCCCACAAAGTACTCAAGCACTGTACTCCGGAAAACAAAGACTGTGCACACTATAAGCCTTGAGAACTCTGCAAACAGTTCAGGCCCTCATTCATGAGGTTGCCTTTTTCGTGCTAGCCGGTGTTCATGGGAAGCATGCCGGGTAGAAGGGCAAAGTGGGAATCCCGGGGGATGATTGCTTTGAATAGGAACTTGGAGGGGCACAGTGTAGCATGTCTCCATGTAGAGAATCTGCACTGTATATAGTATACACATACAAATGGGCTATAAGGAATACGATTATGCGGATGATTCAAGCCCATCTGTGATCACTGACATTCCCGCGAAAGCTCCTCAGCGTCTTCTGATGCGGTCAGGAAGTAGTTGTAGAAACGCGCGGGTGCACCGAAGAGGTCCTGCCCGTTCCCTTAGCATCAAAATAGCCCAAAAGCCTTAAAATATGAGTCCTTAGAGGGTAAGGGATTGAACTCTCATCATGGATCTCTCGAGCCTCACCTCGAAACCTTCAGCCCACAGGGTGTAGAGACCAACTCTGCTGGTATCTCCCACGTCCTCGGAGACTCGTTCCATCAAAGCACGAAGCTCCTGCATCCAAACTTGCTTCTTGGGCACGCTTTCTTTTTTGTCCTAGTGTAGTCCTAGCTTATGGCGAGTACTCTTCAACCATAACCCTAAACCCTACCTGAGCTTAATCCCTAGTGGACGTAGGGTCCTTGCACCCCGAGGATTGGTCACATGTCCTGCTCGAGAGAGTCCGCGGGATCTATGGCAGGGTGAGCGAAACCTGGACCCTCCTGCACTTACCCTTGTCAGGCTAGAGGCTACCTGCCGTTCTCAGCTGCAGAAAATAGCAAGCAAGCAGGCAAGCAAGCAAGCAAATGTATGAAGGTCTATAGATTCATACAGCTACATACATGTGTGTGTGCGTGTCTAAACAGAACAGGTTCTGCACGGTCGAGGTCGGGGCTACGGCAATGCGGGTCTCAGGGCGCAGAGGATGCAAGGGTTCATGGGTTTTCGCGGGTTTGGAAACTGGGGTTGGCTAAGAGGACACACTGAAATCCTCGAAGCTCACTACACCACCACCCCCTCCCACACGCACACGCAAATCGAAGAGGCTTATAATTGTAACACTCTTCGGTCATCGACTATAAGCCTGTGTCCTAAAGCTTAAACCCTGAGCCCTGAATTCCAAATACCCTCCTGGTAGTCCATTCGGTGCATCTCGATCATAATGACACGAAGGCCATCTTCCCGACCTCTGCCGCAACTAGAGAGCTACAATCAAATCATTGGGGCTTGGCTTTGTGTGCCTCTGGTACCTGTCGATCCGAAACGGTACAACCTCTCCATCAGACCAACATCAAGCCTGAATAATCACCGATCCTGATTTTATTTCTTAGTGAATTTCAATTATACTGTGATGTTCCCAAAAACCCTATGAGCACCATTGGCCCTTCAGGGTTTAGTTCATTTGCGACTAAGAGTTGAGTCCTTGGGGTTCTGCCAACCCCGAAACATCATGGCTCTGCTTTGCAAGCCAAAGAAGCAAAATCAAACCTAAACCCTAAACCCTAAACCCCTAAACCCTAAAACTCCTGAAGCGAACAACCCTGGGACACCTCTGAAGCCCTAGAAGCCGGGAAGTCCCAAAACTCAATATAAGCTCGAAAGCATCCAACCCGCTAAACCCTAAACCCAAAACCCCTATGTTTGCTTTTGTTAAAACCTAAACCCCTAAACTCCCAAAACCCCTAAATCCCTGAACTCCCTAAACCCCTAAACTCCCTAAGCCCAATATCCAAAAAAGAGCCTATCTCCTTCCCTCAACACGTCGCGCGCGGCTCCCGCCTGGAGAGGAAGCGACCTGATGCCGCAGCGTCAGGGGATCCTCGGAGTCTGGCTTTTGGGGCTTCTAGGGTTTATATAGGGCCTTAGGGTATAGGGCAGCTAGGTTTAGGGGCTTAGGTTTGTTTTTTTCGAATAGGTTTCAGGGCTCAGGGTTTAGAGCCTGTGGTTCAGGGTTTAGGGCTTAGGGCTCAGGGTTTAGGGCCCTGGATTTAGGGAGTATTTCGGGTTTGTTTAGGCCTCAGGGTTTAGAGCCTTTGGTTTAGATTTTTGTTTCCCCTTTAGGGGGGTGGGTTTAGGGTTTAGGGCCCTGGGTTTAGGGTTTAGGCCCTGCGGAATGTTACGGGGACGAACAGGGCCTTTGATACCTTAACTTAAGTGTGGGTTTGAGGTGTACTTCGAGTGGGGCTTAAGGGTGTGTTATCGTGTGTATGATAATGTTACAGAGACTGGCCGGGGATTTTCTTGCTACTTTGGCGGAGCTTTCTGCGGGCTCACTTGGGATGTGGGGCGAGTGGGATGAGGCAAAGCCGAGGAACCCAGGTCATCCATGTGTTTGCCAGTTACATGAACCCACCGGAAAAATCCTGCCTTCTCTCTAAACCGAAAACAATCATGTGTGAAGAATCAATAACAAATGGACTTGAGTCATTTATCAGTGTTCAGATAAATACGCCCCGAATCCCATGCCCTTGTCAACACCAAACCCCACACCTTGAACCCCTAAACCTCTGCACGGTCGCAGAAAGCCGGCATAAGGCCCTAAGCCTAAACCCTTCGTTTCCTTAAGCCTTAGCGAGTCGAGTGAAATCCGAAAAGACCCCACTTCAACCCTAAAGACCCCAACTAAGGCCGAAAGACCTTAGTTATAAACCCTAAAGGCCCTTATAATTACATCCCATAATATCACAATGACCCTAAGATACACCCGATAAAAGATCCCACGTTAGACCCTAAAGAAGCGAGGCTCCAGGAAAGGCGGCAGATTCCACCATGTGCTCGCCGGCAGTGGCGAGGGAATGGCGGCCGACATCCCTCGGACAGCACTGGCTTAGGGGCTAAGTATCCCAGCCCAAAACAGGTTAACCTTTCAATAATGGTAGGGATATATAAGCCCAAAAAGGGTTAAGGTTACTGACTCAGCTACTAAGATGGGGAGAACGTGGAGTGAAACTTCTTCTGGCACTTAGCAGGACCCTTGTGATCAGGAGCCTGCCTCCTCTCAGGAGAGACATCAGCACTGCGGCAGCATCCGGCGACGTTGGCCTCGAGGCTGAGGTGTCCAGGGTTAAGGGGAAACCCTAAACCCTAAAACCCTAAACTCTAAACCGTCCGGGTTTAGGGCTCAAGGTTCGTTTAGGGTTGGGGGGGGTGGGGATTTATGGTCTCGGGCACTATAAGACTCAAGGCTTGACTGTACGGTAAGACGGGCTTTTAGAAGATCTTCTAAGGCTTGGGCGTAGGAGTAAGATTCTGTGCCGAGCACTTGTATCCTAAACCCTTTCCACAGGCTTGAACTGAGTTAGGATCCCTAAACCCTAGACCCCTAAACCCCTACATTCCCTAAAACCCCTAAACCCTAAACCCTTGCTCGACTCCAAGGGCTATAGGACTCTAGGGCCTGCCATAAACCTCCAACAAAGACCCTGTAGGGTTTAGGGTTTAGGGGTTTCGGGTCTTTTTTTTGCCTCCCACCTGGCTAGGACGAGCCCGCATGGCAGGGTACAGTTTAGGGGTTTAGGATTTAGGCCCTGTTGCTCAAGGCCATAAACGCCTTGCCTTATGGCACATACTCCCAAACCCCAACAACTAAACACTAAGCCCCCAAACCAGAAACCGGAAACCCAAAGCCCCCAAACCCTGAAACCTCAACCCTACAAAACCCCCAAAACCCTGAAACCGACCTTCAAAACGAAGCCCTCAACCCTTTTCCACAGGCTTGAACTGAGCTCGCCCGGCCAAATCCCTCGCAGCACATCGCACTCGTGCCCTCAACCCTAAACCCTAAACCCTAAAAGCTCAGCCGGGCCTGACATTTCTTGGCCAAGCCTGGCGCAGCATCAGGGCCGCACCATCCCAAAAGCCCAAGCCTGGCTAGAAGGCGTCAGCAACAAATGAATATATATATATATATACACACATATCTATATATATATACACACGCATATATTATGTGTTATATATACACGCTTATAAAAGCAATGTGTATATATATATATATAGAGATAGTTATGTGTGTATGTATGTATGTATGTATGCATGCATGCATGCATGCATGCATGCATGCATGCATGCATGCATGCATGCATGCATGCATGTATGTATTTGTGCATACGCACATCCTCTAGGATCCCCTGATAATTAACCCAGGAATAAGAAGGGCTCTCCTTCTTTGGTACTAGTAGAGTTCCTAAACCGGGACCCTAACTTAGAGAACTACTCTTAAACCTTCAGTCCCAAGTCCTAAGCCCAGAACCCTGCATGCTGGTGCCTAAACCCTAGTGGAGCCATAGAGGGCGCGATAGGCGGGTTGGGGTTTCGACAGACTTGAGGAGGCTTCGGGTTTTGTGGATTACTAGGAAATATTGAGAAGAAAAAACTGGCGGTAAATACTGGAGATCGTTGGAGAAAAGCATTTCGGATGTTCCGAAACCCTTTTTTCCCCAAGAATGGTCAGACAGGCTACGACTGATTCTGTACTTTAAACTGTTAGGCAAGCGATGCGCCAGACACGACTAGCAACCGTGGAGAAATGCCTCAATTACAGCAGCTATCGCAAAAGCTCGAAAGCCTAGGGTGCTTGGCTGAGGCTATGAAGTAACACACAAACCCTATACAGCCTAAACACTATATATCCTACCCCAGTTTCGCTGCGCCAAAGCCCCGCAATACTCCATTGCTTGTGAACGAAAGGACATGTAGAAATCCGAAGTCCGGAATCTTAAATCACCAAACCTCGGACCGGGGTGTTCTTGGACTAGAGGGCTATTCACGGGTTACCGAGTTCAGCATTTAGTCCTTATGGTTGAGGGAGTTTAGAGTTCGGGGAGTTTAGGGAGTTTCGGATTCAGAGCGACCGAAGTTCAGGCCTGGGACAAATCCACGGTGTTCCGGCAATGCAAACCTGGAGTGTACGGTTTGGGCTTTAGGCTTGGAGTTCACCGACTAGGGTTAACACATTTGAGGCTCAGCTTGAAAGTCCAGTCCAACTTTAAGAGTTCAACCCCCGGTCGGCGAGTGTGATGGCATTTTCCATCGCTTCTTGTCCACTGGTACCAAGAATCAACAAGAAGGTCGAGGCAGGACACGTGGAGGAGAGTATGTACAGATGGATAGAGAGAGAGAGAGAGATAGATAGATAGATAGATAGATAGATAGATCGATAGGTGGACAGACAGATAGATAGACCGACAGATAGATAGATAGGTAGGTAGGTAGATAGATAGATAGACAGGTCGATAGACCCACAGATCCATAAATAGAAAGAAAAGAAAGATAGATAGGTAGGTATAGGTAGGTAGATAGATAGATAGACAGACAGATAAATAGATAGACCGATAGATATAGCTAGATAGCTAGATAGATAGATAGATAGATAGATAGCTAGATAGATGTAGCTAGATAGATAGACAGACAAAAAGATAGGTAGATAATCACATGCATCCATAGGTAGGTCGGCTTTCAGGTTCAGGATCTACAAACTCTCTGCATTTCCAAGGCAGGCCACTCGGAAGGCCAAAACCGCTGAAAGTGCCCCAGGGTCTCTTGCACGAGTGCTTGGTGCTTGTCGCCGTCCTCCCAGCAGTGCATCAACCTGGGCTCTGAAATGGCCAAGGAAAAACCGTCAAACTTCTGCTGCATTATCCATCAGCCGTTCCTAATAACATTGACATACTGGAGCCTTTGCCCGAGGATGTTTTCGAAACGGAAAATTTCAAACATGTCCACCAAAATCACCAAACAACAAACAGAGCACTTCAAATCTTTAAAGCCCGGTAGCTCCACAAGCCAATAGGTGGTGACTGCGTAGACCTCGCCATGCACTTATCAGCATTTATGCCAGAACAAGACCTTCTCCCGTCCCTTTCACTGCTGTTCTTAGGTGCCCCTGAAAACCGCAAAGATAAACGTTTGAGGCACGATCCCTACCTTTGGGTAGGCTTCAACAGTTGATGTGCCTATTTAGGGCCTATTTGGTCTTCCGAACACTCAGCTTGAGGTCTTCTCCGGAAAACCAGAGCAGCCCCTGGACAAAGCATCGCATGCAAAGCCGGAAAGCACCCAAGCAGTTCCGAAGCATCTGTGCTTCCAACCCTATGTTCGGGCACAGGGATAGAATCAGTTTCGGTCACTGCCCGTGACGGTCCCATGAGCCCTGAACCGTCAGCTGCGAAATCCACAAACAACCTACTGTCCTCGACATGTGGCCGAAGCATAGATCCTACACCCTCGAGCCGCCAGACGATCCTAATCCCAGACTCCAACCCCTGACGCCTCTGGCCTATATGAACCTACTACCCAGTTCTCTCTCTTTTAAAATTTTTGGGCCCGAAAACCGGTCGAGCCTAAGAAAGCCTTACCCCCAAACCCGACAAGCCCTCCCTAAACCCTAAACTTGCGAACTTCCAGACCCCCCAAAAAGGGTTTCCGGGGGGCCTGGAAGGCCCAGAAGTCGTCCTCTTCCTTCCCTGGCGCAGCAAAGGCCTCGGCGGCTCGAGCCGTGCCCAACTCCACGATGGCATGACCTTTGTGCGTTTTATGGGCTTATAGGGCTCTGAAGCTGATAGGTTTAACTTGACTTGCTTAGGGTTTAGGGGTTAGGGGTAAGGGGTTAGGGTTTAGGAGTTCAGGGTTTAGGGTTTTTGGAGGGGGAGGACTTCTGAGGACGAGGCTCAGGGCTCAGGGCCTGCGGCGCGGAATACATCGACCCTCCGAGCTTCCTGATATCCCAAAGCCTAACAGCCTCAAGGCTGCCACAACTGTGGCGAGGGGATTAGGGTTTTTTGGGGCTCAACAAGTATGAGCATTTTATGTATCCAAGAAATGGGAGAGCCGACGAAACTTCCCACGCAAATAAATTCAGATGTTTGGGTCTTCAGAAGACTAGAAACCTCATTCTTGGGGGCGTCATTATGATAAGGATCCTAATTCGGGTTCTAGATTAGACTTCCCCTATTTTCAGAAACTCTCATTCGGGCCCGTGGCCCGCCTGCTTGCTGGGCATCTGGAGTAGCTTCGAAGAGCGCGCGGACGGCGGCCAAGGAGGAGGTAACGTGAGAGTCCAGCCAGTTGCTGCTGGATGTAAGTGCAAGTTGCAAAGCCTTCCACTGCGGCTGCTGCATGAATTCGGCCAGCTCCTGCGTGACTTCGTGCCAAGGACCCCAACCCGGGAATCCCAAACCCTCCTTGACAAGGCCCCCCAAAAATCCGCATACCGAAGTTTTGGGCTTGAAAAGAGCAGGCAGCTAGACTTGCTGCTTTGCCGTTTAAAGCCTACCTGGACCTTCACATGTTGCTGCGATATTTTGGGCAAGCGGATTCTTTCAAATAGGTTGCCGTGTCGTTTCTGAATCACAGACCCTAGGTTGTCCAGAAGGAGGGACAGGACTTTTAGGGCCCTCGCCAAGCCCTGAAACTCCAAAAAGCTCCTGGGCGGCAGCTTTCGGCATCACCCGTAGTGCCAAAGCATAGGCTCTCTTATGGCGAGTCCTGTGCCGGCACAGGCCAGGGCCACTTTAGTGATTTGCAGAAGAGTGCTGGTCTGTCCTGCCTCCTGCTTTGCTACGTCGAGCTGGAAACTCCTCTAAACCCAAAGCCCTTGATTGCTAACCCCAAAGCCCTAAAACCTAAAACCCAATGGCTTATAGTCGTTCGGGGACCATGTGCAAAGGAGGGGTTTACGATTCGGGGGTTGTGAGACTTGGGATTTGGGGGCTGCAGGTTAGGGCTCTGCCGCCACGAAGGCATTTCATTACATCCTTTGAAAGTCTGAAGTCATCTAGACTTCTCTGTAGAGAAGAATGTAAGTACAAAGTGGGCTGATCAAACTTCCAAGCTACAACCTACACCAAGAAGCATACGCAAAGCGACGATCTAGGGCTTTAGGAATCGTGGGTTAAGCCCTATGTCTGCTTTTTGTCAGGCTTCAGTGGGGTTGTTTTCTGTGTCCTTGGCCAGGTCGATGGCAAAGTGACCCTTGCCTGCAAGCCAGGATTCCACAAGTACTCCGTCACCTGGACAGGGCACTCACTCACGGGAATAGGGCTTTGGCGGGGGGGGGGGTGGGAATTTGGTATATCTGTATGGGGATACATCCGGCAAACCTTCTCGAATGACACCCCCAACCTGAACATCCCCCCTTGAGCAAACGATTGTAAGGTCCTTTATAAGCCCTAACCCTTAACCCTAAACCCTAAACCCTAAGCCCTATAACCCAAGTGTACGGTTTCTTCGGGTTTAGGCGGAACCATGTCCGGGCCGCACCCCATAGACCGCAGACATGTCGGTGAGCTCCGTGTAGACTATGCCACAGCCCATATTCCTTTGCACCGTCGAGTCGCAAGGCTCAGGGTTCTCATAGGGCTTGCCTTGCCCCACAGATCCTACCTTTTGCAAGGCTTGTATGAGCAACTCAAAAATTAATAGGCAGCCCTAACGAGTAGGGTTTTTTTAGTTCAGGCAGGGCTTAGATGTTGAACTTTCGTCGAGGGATAAAGGGGCGAGGGTTGTTTTCCTGGGAAAGATTTGTAAATTAAATTTGTAAAGGTGAGACTTCGGCCTTTCATTGGCTTTTTAACTGTATGAAAACAATTTGACTTAAGCCTACTGGGTTAATGCGTTCTCCGGTGCTTGTTCAATATTTATGTTCATGATTTTCTGGTTGTTGCGTTGTTCAGTTCCTTTCTGCTAACGGTCAGTTTGACTCGAGGATAACGCTCCTGCTGTACTACTGTACTATTGCACGCCGGCACCACCTTTTATTGCACCACCGCTGTGGTCTATTGTACCATCGTGCTATTGTACTACTGTACTGCACTACTACGGTACTAGTGTACTTATGTACCATGCTGCAGGAACTGAGGGGGGTGTTCTGAGGAGCACGCGGGGATCGTATTATTCAAGACATCCGCAAATGTTTGGCGGGGGCAGCTATGACAGCGCAGCATTAATAACGCCAAACCCAGCCCTGCAATCAAACCCCTGACCCTGAAACCCGGCAAGAAAAAAACACATGTTCACCCCATAAGACCGTCTAACCCTAAGCCCCCAGGTACCTACTATATAGGGTACTAGAGCCCCTAAGGCCCTATATAGTAGGTACCTGGGGGGCTAGGGTAAAATGAAGCAGCTCAGCTTCTCCCAAGAGATGAAGGCCATGCCAACGCAGGCGGGCCCGTTCCGGGCCACGCTGAGGCCTGTCGCATGGGATGCGTTTGCTTCCGATTTCGGCCTTTCAAGGCAGTTTCGAGGGCTTTGGGGCTAATGCGGCTTCTGGTTCGTGCTTAGGTCACCCACTCAGAGTTTATGCTTTGGGTCGCGGAGCTTGGGAACTCGGGCAGGCGGCGTGTCCTGCAGCCCTTTACGGAGAGCCTTTGAAGGAACCCTTAAGGTAACCCTAGGATAAACCCGTAAAATTTAGAAGAAGCTTCAAGAAACCTTCTACTTGTTCTTACTTTGCGAAAACTCCAAGAGTCTGTTGTGTCTGAAGGTAGGAAGGAAAAGTCGAGTCGAGCTTCCCAATCGCTCAACTTACCAGGGCCCATGCATGGTAAATCCGATGACCGAGCAGCCCTTTAGGCCTTACCTTATAATTTATATCATCTTACATAATCCATCAACAATCGGAGTGCCATTGAATACCAGTTTATTTATTCCGAAACCGACCTACGCTAGTCCCGTCGTCCTTGGAGCGCGTGCGTCTGGAGTCCAGAGCGGTCTGCAAGGATCAGCGAAATCTCGTTAACTTCGATGCTGCCATCCTCGGCTACTGCTGGCCGGGTTTGGTGCAGGCTTCGTGGTGACTTAAGGTGTAGATAAACCCTAGAATTGTCAGAGAGACTACGGCCTCACATCTTCTCGGTGATGAGGCCTTATGTGCAGAGATCTGCACTTCGAGCTTCTGACGTTCTTTTGCAGATCGATCTTGAAATCGAGAACTCCAAAAACCCTGATCTAGTGAACTCCACGCAGACTCCCTGCCAACCCCAAAGACTATAAATTCCTAAACCCCAAAGACTATAAACCCTAAACGGCCCTAAATCCTAAACCCCAAGGACCTCAGCCCGGGACCTGCAACACGGAAACTTGAAACCACGATGAACGCCACGCCCCACAGCCGGACGGCTAAGGCCCGGTGCTCTATGAGACCTAGGACCCCAAACGCCTAAAACGCCTAAGTTACACCTTCTACCTGAAGGGTGCAAGATACCTATCATTCATGTATGTAGGTTTAGGGTAGTATAGTAACCCTGTGAGTTAGATTTTTCTGGAGCATATGGCTAGCAGGTAATTCGACCCGCAGGGCCTCCGCCTCTCAAGCTCCGATAGTTGACGCTCTCGCAACTCGGACTTGCCCCAAACGACAACGAGGTCTCAATGTAAATAGATTTAGAAAGTGTGGGGTGGAGAGTCGATGTCCCGATTCCCCCAAAAATCTAAGCTCAACACCTCAACCCTGTAGCCTCTGTTTCTGAGTCTCAAGAACAAAAGACCTAATTCCCCAGACTCGAAACCCGGAGCCCCAACCCGAAACATGAAGCTCTCAACACTCAGACAGAAACCTCCCCCGCCAAAACACCAACAACATCCGGAAAAACTCCAAGATATCATCACCCTAACCCCGAACCCCTAAACCCCTAAAACAGAGACTCCTGTTCAACTCCCAGGCGTCGTCAGAGGACGTGGTTTCAACGATGTGACCGCAAGGCCCAGGTCTCTCTGCGAAGAAGCGAAGGGCCGAGATACGCACCTCTCTGTTGCGTTTAGGGTTTCGGGTTTAGGGTTTAAGGTTTAGAGTTTAGGGGTCAGAGTTTAGGGTTTAGGGTGTATGTGAGTTGTAGAAATACAGACTCCTTTAAGTCCAGCATGTTCCGGTTTAGTGCTTCTCATCTTGACGGCCTAGTGAATAGGGGCTTGGAGTAGATTGTAGTAATTGTAGTACTCCATACGATGCAGGGCTAAAAGAGCTCAGGAATTAACGTTGCCGCCTGATATGTTGTCTGCATGGAATGATTTTTGTTTAGGCCCCAAGTACACATGTCTTGTAGGAGTGTAGACCCTGTGAATGAGGGTTTGTTGCGTTTTGGAAACAGCATTGAACTGGTGTGATGGATTTTCGCTCAGATGCACTTACTATCTGACTGGGCTTCGGCATTGCTTGACACTCCCGGCCATGTGCTTCCTTAGTAGGGGATTCTGGCAGATTGAACCTGGCTTTACAACTTTTGCGAGTCGTGGGACTTTCATGAACCTTCAGGGCTTCATCGGTTCTAACTTGTTGATGTTCAGCGAGCACTTACAACACCCTACGGTGAATGTAAGGTCCAGAAGCCACCCGATTTCCAAAAGATTGCTTCAAGGATTAGGGACGCAGCAAAATCTAGCTTGTAGATGGAGTTGAAATAGAACATATGAGGATTACTCGGTTTCTGCTTCTAGCCACCCCACTATGCTTTCTGATTCTGTGTATGTAGAAGCCCCACCTCTTCTTGGAAGCAGAACGCGGCATCCACGATCATAGCCTTTGCTGTGCAAGACCCATGGGCTTTACAGGCAGCCTGCCGTCGTCAGTGCTGCCGACAGAGGCCACCCTGATATAACTGCGAAATGCCAGGCCACTAAGACTCTGAATGTCGTAAAAGATCTGGTCTACTAGAGCTCACGCCTTGGTCTGAACTTAGGAGTATGCCCCATGGACTTAGAGGATTCGAGACCCCGAAGCCCCCGGCCGCCTCAACCCCCACAACAGGAATACACCAGCAACACACACCTGACGAAAGAACAAAATGCCTTTTCCGCATATCCAAAGATGACATCCAAGGCATGCTTCAACACTCATGGGGAGCTCGATTAGGCGCCTTCCGAAGTACCAAGCGCCTTCAACACAAGGAGTTCATCGTGTCTCAGGATGAACGATTCAGCGTCGGGTGCCTTGACAAAAGCACCTATCATCTAGTGGTCCGCCCAGAAGGTACCTGATGGCTTAGAAAACCCATAAAACTAGGGTTTCCGGTGTATTGTAAATCATAAGGCTGTCGCTTGCCAAATTTACGACTAATTTTCAATTTGGAACTCCAGTCGGCAAGCGGCTGACACGGCCTGAACCATTCTCCCCACATCGGATGGCGCATTTTCCTTCCCCAACCACCTGGACCAAGCGTTTGGGTTTGGGTCTCGTGGACTTGGCGGCCTGGTGTTCAGGCCAGGCTGTGTGGTTCCAAAGGGGGGGGGGGGGGGGGGCGGCGGCAGGGATTTGAGGGCTTAGGATTGCTGGTTTAGGGCTACATCGCTTCAGTTTCGGGTTTGGGTTTGGGGATCGAGGATTAGGGCTTGGGTGCTGAGTGAAGGATGCAGGGTGCAGGGCCGCTTAGAGCTTCAAGGCGGTGCCGTCAAAGTGGCCTTTATATCTGTGGGTTTCAAAAGCCGAAGCCCTAGAAACCTAACATATACAGACTACGTGCATGTAGAATTCCACTACCACCAGTTCTGAGCCTCAATGCTACAAGCCAACCCTCTGCATATCCAGGGTATGTGCATGCAGAATTCCAGCATCGCCAAAACTGAGTGTCATTGCTGCAAGCCCGTGGGACCCCAAATCAACACAAGATGTTGACTAGTGGGGTTCTTACAAGCCCGAAACCCAACATAAACCCTGATCAAAGAAAGACTCAGATCAAGGAACCCCAAAACCTCAAGAGACCTGTCATGCCCTGGATTCTCTCCAGTCCTAAAGCGACGGTTTATGAAGCCCCGAGGTTTGGATTTGATCCGGGCCTCGGATTCGCGGTTTTGCGCGTGGGGTGCTGGGTTCACAAGAAGTAATATGGGTTTGTTTTCCCATGTTTAGGGTTTATAAATAGGGTTTAG